TAGCGTCATAAATGTATTTTTGGCGTTAGGATAATATAAATACTGTTCAATTTAGAGTCTCAATCGAGTCCAAGATCCATGAATGCCAAAGAAGGCAAATTCTGGGGAATTACGGCGAAAGACGTAGGCACGAGAATAGTCGAGAGTTTGAGTAAAGGTTCAAAGATGAAATTAACCAGTGGTTTTTAGAAATTACCCTGATTTCCGCTTAGGTACCTAACAGCGGCCGCGATAGCTTTTGGAAAACAGTGGACCTCGATCATTTGGAGGTGTTCGTTAAGATTGGAGCTACCTGGCGCTTCAGTACGCCGAAGTCTAGTGACGAGGCAGTGCCTTGAGAGTTGAGGTAGGGAAGAAGCAGAAACAAAACCAAAAATATTAAGGAAGCGAAAGAAGAAGCCGCCGAGCAGCTGGGCGCGTCAATGCTTTTGGAAAATGGACATTTGGCGGGTGAAAGGGTCGCCACGCTCGACGCAATATCACCGATGCTTGCTTGAGGAAGGGGTATTACCACACAAATGGTGAGTCTGCACTAATATCAAGCAAGCTACGAAAAATCCATACAATTTTAGCTTATCGAGGGGATGCCCGAAAGAAGAAAGCCCGGATGGCAGATGGATAATTCAAAAGTTCAATTTTCAGATCTCTTTCCGAAATGTGATTCCACGATAAATGTGCATATCAACAGATTATGGTTAAATGTACGCAATGCCAATCCACAGTTTATTCAGAGGCGACACGGGCAAAGCGAAGCGACAACAATAATAGATTAGATCAAGGCTGCGAAATCACATTTATATCACCGGTGACATTTTTAGAGGCGAGAAGACGCTTTTTTCAGTCCTCTCGCATTCCAACTTCAAGAATTCCGGTTTGTTGGCCGGTGGAAGGAAGTCCTTCACCGGAAAGACAATCAGATCGTCGACGGATACCTGAAGTGATATTGGACTCTTATGGATAATTTAGCAATTGCATTTTATGTGTTTTTATGTATTTTCAACCTACCGAAATGTGGCGTACACCCCGCTCCGGTGTTTTCGATAGTTGTAGACGAGGATTTGGAGACAAATGTTGGCTCGTCGAAGATGATAAAGATGCGGGCTACTCGATTGGGTAAAGCGGGGTTAACCACATGTGTTCGGGCCTAAAAAGGTTAGTTTTTGTCTTTTAGGAGATGTCCACGAACCGCTCGGTGTCGTTGCACCCATCTATGAGATTTCACTAGTTCTAGGATCTCCGTCAACCATCGGGAGGATGTTGATGGACTCTGGGGAAAGCGGCGAGATCTGAAAGGCTTTGTAGCCTCGAAAAATATCGAGATTTCAGCAGGCTAGCCGAGATTCTTGAGGAATATTGATGCGTTATCGATCCTGACTTACTGTGAGGTCGAAGCTTCAACGGACGATCTCTCCTATCCAACAGCTCGATCCCGTTGAGACCCACGTAGAACTCGTCGCCCCAAGTCGAGAGCAGCCGCAGTTGGAAGATAACTTGAAATAGCAATATTTTAAATTCACTTTTAATTCCCTACATCCATCGATCGAATGGGTCAGCGGACGGGAACGGCCGTCTTCTGGGACCACGCCTTCGTGAAGGGGCACATCCTGGACGTAGTCGAAGAAGACGAAGCCTAAAATTTAAAACTTTTAGTTGCAGCTGTTTTTTCGTACCTGGGGCTTTCCTTAAAAGTGCATTCCACGACCGGCTTGCTGTTGGCATGGATTCGGACCTCGCGCACGCCTGCGTACGACATTTCCGGTGAGGCGTTGTAGTTCCAGAAGGAGATGCCTGAAAAAGGGTAATAACAGCTAAAAATTAAACTTTAACGCATAAAAAGCCATAATTTTCATTTGCAGAGGTTCTCACCAGTAATCGCCTGCGGTTGCGGGAAGTTGATGGTGATCGTCGGCGGTTTGCTAGGGTCGAACGGTGTCAGCCACATTTCGGAGGGCTGCGCGATAGATTGCGTCCGCTTATTAGGCTAAAAATTAAGGTTTCATAAGTTGTTAATAATATATACCTTTCAATTCCAGGCGAGCCATTCGATACACTGATCTGGACGTTTTGAAGTTTTACCACTTCTGCGTTGGGGCCAAGGATCTAAAAACGACGTAGGGACGCGTAAAAAAGGTCACATACTACTCAAAAATGAAATTAAAAAGTTTATAACTGTATTTTGGAAAAAAATAAAGTATTATCCTACAAAAATAGCTCACCTCAAGCCCGGTCAACCCTATCGAATCCCGGCTTCCCCAATTTGACAGCAACTCGATGTGTAGGACTATAAAATATTAATATAAAGTCGGACTAGATTACCACCTTACAAATCAATTAAAATACGCCTTATGAAGTTACCTTTCGCTTTCAAATCGATCCCATTGCCCGGAATTGCCTCCTTTACAGGGTAGAACTTTGGCTCGGCGCGCGGACTCTCCAAAAGTTCGCCCGTCGTCGGCCGATACGGTGTGAACGTCATCAGCGCGTCGGAATGTTCTAAAAACGAGATAAATAAATTTAGATAAAATGTTGCGTAATTACCGCTCTGTTCCCTAACATCTTGCGTCGAATTGGCAAAGTCAAAATCGTGGATGAGACAGAGGTCGTTGTTGGCGATGGATTCGAGGATTGCCTCGTCGGTAGTGAAGAGGACCGTCTAGTAATGAATGGATGAAAATACATAAAAATAAACAACTTACATCACCCATGCCTTCCGCTTCTTCTTCCGACTCGTAGGCACATTTGATTTCGCCTCTGATAAAAAAAAGAATAAATTTTGAGATGTAACATTACAAGACATGCTTCAAAATAGGGTAGGCTAGCAGAGATCTTTTGGCAATGTGATAAAATCGTATTGAATTACTTATAGTATTACCAAAAACTACGTGTTTAGAATTTAGAAAGTCTTAAGAAAAGCTAGCCGTTTTTTTTAGCATTTCTGATCCCTAATTCCTTTTCCAAGAAGCCAAAAAAAACCCGTGGCAAGCTAGCAGAGACCTTTAGGAATTGTATTTTTATCCAGATTTAATTTAAAGGCGAAATCACCAGAGTCGAAAATAAATCGAGCAATTTCAGTCCAAGAAGAGACCCACTTAAAAATAATCTCCCCATCGAGGGTCATATTCAGCCGGCGGACCCCGCGTTGTGCATGGACACGAGATTCATTGTAATTCTAGAACCGATAAACATCCATCAAAAATATATTGCCAAAAGCCCACCCAAATCCGGATCATCGCCACGGCCTCCGGTTTGGCAAAGTGGAGCCGCAGTTCGATGGGCGCCTAAAAGAGTGGTTTTCATTGAAGGATTTCGGCAACAAAACAAGCATTTTAAGTCGGAAACAACTGCAGAAAGCCTAGGTATGTGATCTACTAAAAATCGTACCTCTCCAATACTGGCGCACCACATTTGAGCACCATCTGTACAACCGAAATTCTCGACTAGTAGACATTGGATGTCTCCTAGTTGTTGGGCGGTGGCGTTGCTGCTCACCTGGAAAATGGGTTCTACTCAAAAAGGGGCATCATCTAGCTGTTCACCAAAAAGCAAAAAGTTTCACCGCGCCTGGGGTTCGAACCCGGACCTTGCGTCAGGATATGGTGGATTGAGCGCGATTTAGAAAACAAGATTTATCGGTAAAGGAGCGTTGAAGCCAGGAGACCTGTATACTTAAAAATGAAACTACCTTCTCAACCCCAGCTCGCGTGCCATCAACCGTGAACACCTCGACGCAGTTGAGCCCCACCCACAGCGTGTCGCCCCAATTGTCGAGAAGATGGAGCACGAGATCGGTCCCCTTCGGGAGCACTGGGATTTCGCTAAAATGAGGATGAGCTACAGTATCTGATCGAGAAAAACTTACAACATCATCTCCTCGTCGGCCCCATTTTCGATGATTCGGTCGGTGGCGGCGGTGGACATTCGGAAGGGCGCCACTGCGACTACTGTAAAAAATGGATTTTTTTGCCTAATAAAAGCAGCCTTACAAAAGGAATACCTATAAAAAGGGGAAATCTGCTTAAAAGTGCATTTTAAGGAACAGTGGTAGGCGACAAATAAAAAAGTAAAAGTTCCGGGTGGGCAGAGAATCCTTGTAGAAAGGTCTAAAAACGTCATTTTTGGGAACAGGGGATAGGTTTTAAAAATGCGATAAATTGCGGGTATACCTGAGGCGATCTAGCAGCGATTCTTTGCGGATAATCCAAAAAATAAGCTAAAAAATCTTTAAGCATTAAAGGGAAGAGGAAAATCCGTAAAAGGATGGTATCAAAAATTAACCTAACTTTTATTTTAGAACAAGGAAGTCTTTTTAAGAATAAGCGAAACACTACGTGCTTCTTCGGGCAAACTAGCAGAGATCCTTGGCGGAAAAGCGTAGCAACCTCGCAAAATTAAGCAAAATAAATAAATCTGGCAACAGATTTTTAAAATGCAATAAAATATATTAAAAATATTAAAAATATTTTTTATATTTAAAAAATTTGAATTTAATATATTTAAAAAATATATTAAAAAAATCACTTGTCAGCAATGAGACAAAATGGCAAACTTCCTGACGCCTAAAAACTAGGCAATCTAGCAGCGTTTCTTTGCGGAAAATTGTAAAGATAAACCCCCAAATCTAGAAACAATAAGCAAGAACTCCACTAAAAAGAGCTATACGACACAACACCCAGCGGTTTCCGCTTATGGGCCCCCGTTTTCTCGTGTCGCCGGAAAATTGGGGGTTCGGCTTGGGGTGGGTGGGCCGCAGTGGGCCCTAGTAGCCACAAGCCAACAACAAAATATACACCTGGTGAGTGGAATGCCAGCACCACCACTACGAGATAATACGATTCGACGGGCGGGGGATTACGGTAATGCAATAGGAATTGTGAATTTACTACGGTAGCTCGAAAAGGACAAGGAATAGGGAATTTGTAACAAATTCTATTGCCGAAAAACACTTAATAAAACTAAAGTTTGCTGTCATTTCTAATTAGATAGTTTCGGCCCTTAATCGTATTTATTTAAATTACAGTAATCAAAAGTCAATGGCTTACTGTAGCTAGGTACCGTTTAAAAGATTTCATTGCGCATTTTACCCAAAATTTTGTCAGTACTTTTTAGGCGTGGCGTGAATTACCGTACATCGTAACCGTACCCGGTCATAAACCTTACGAATTTTTAATTTAAAATTGGAACCGAAATTCCGTGACACTACGCACCACAAGAATTGACGCCTAGCAAAATATACAGCAAAAAAGGGCGTGGGAAAAGCCGGGAAAATTCCGTCAAGCACCGGACAAAGCACAGCGGCCACAAACGGCTCCGGTTCCTCCGGAAAATGCTCAAAAAAACCCGAAAAATGTGCACAAACATGGGGTCTCGGGATTTCGAATTGGTCCCGTGATTTTGGGGGGTTACAAAAAAACGTCGAAATTCGTAGAAGCCGGAGAAAATTGTAGGAAATCGGCCGGAAACGGAAGAAATAATTAAACGCGTTTAAAAGAATAAAAACGTCCAAAATTTCCTAAAAATGACAATTATGAGGGATATTTACTGCCCGAAAATTCAGAGAATGCGGAAATTAAAGTAGAACGATTTTAAATTGATGTTAAAACAAATATACTTCAACGTTTATTAAAATAGAATTAATTTATAGATGTAATCAACTAGAATAAGAGAAGCTTTTTCAAAATGACAATTATAAAAATAAATTTTTCTGAAAAATTATGCAACAAAAAATGTAAAAATTTAATTTCTTTGACCATAGATATTCATTAAAAATTAAGACCAAAAATAGGAGGTATCAATCTCCAAATTCTCCTGCATTCCGTGTGCAGAGGAAAATTCGGAAAACAGACGGCTCAGCGGGCCGAAAAGCCGTAATATTCGGGTGGTCATGGTGACGGGCGGGAGGGAAGAAGAAGCCACAGGGTTTGGCGTGGACTGGCCGTTGGTTCCCCCCACTTTCACAGGTCATTTTATAGGGCCCAGGGCGACAAAATGGAATCATCAAATCTCACAGTCAGGGTTGGATGATTTTTCAAAATTGAAAAAGCACTTTTCCGTTTGTAATGCTGGAAGACAGGTCAAAATAGGCACGGATTTGCCTATTGGAGTTTTCTTCGACGTCTTGAAAGGCTGACTTGATATGTCGTAGTGCGAGAGCTGGGGATTGTTTGAGGTTTGGACGAGCGGATTCAGAAACGTGCCTGGTACCGTACCGTCAAGAGAATCGGCGCGGAATGCGAAATCCGAAAATCTGGATTTAGGGCTCGGATGGCAGCCATTTTTAGCAAAACCGGTGAGAATGACGATGACGCTTTGAGACGTCAAGCGGAAAATCAAAATACCAACTATCTTTAGAACTACGGTAGGCAAATCGTGTCTCCTGAAAGGGCGGCTTTCAGAATCTCTAAATTTCAGAATCTCTAAATTTCAGAATCTCTAAATTTCAGAATCTCTAAAAATCAGAATCTCTAAAAATCAGAATCTCTAAATGTCAGAATCTCTAAATGTTGGAATCTCTAAATTTCTTTGTACAGGAGCCAATACAGAGTTTGGCGCAAATTGAAACTGTAATGCGCTTTTACCCAAAGACGCCTCTGAAAACTTTTTCTGGGGTAGTTTTTTGCGCTAACCACGAAAAACGTAGATGCATTTCCATAGCGCCATTTTTCGGTGCTTGGTTACAACTGTTGCCTTCAAAGCCCAAAACTTGGTTTTGCTATAAGCAATTCATTTTGAATTTTTGAGATTCGTGGTTACGTTTTTCGTGATCAGGGCAAAAAACTACCCCAAAAAAAGTTTTCACAGGCGACGTTGAGTAAAAGCGCCATACAGTTTCAATTTGCGCCAAAAACTGTATGGCTTCCTGAACCGATTTTTTGTTTTAGAGATTCCGATTTTTAGAGATTCTGATTTTTAGAGATTCTGATTTTTAGAGATTCTGGAATTTAGAGATTCCGATTTTTAGAGATTCTGATTTTTAGAGATTCTGAAATTTAGAAATTCTGAAATTTAGAGATTCTGAAATTTAGAGATTCTGATAGGGCGGCCTCCTGAAAATCGGAAATCTGAAGGGAAT